AAGGGCTATAAAGAGAATAGATACATAATGATCAAATGGCACTAATATTTTAGGTATATTGTCGGTCAGTCCAAGTTTCCTAAAATTCATGAACTACCTTCCTCTTCTTTCTGTTATTTTTTTACATAATGAATTCAGATCTTTGATGTTTCTAAAGGAAAAGCTGAGTTACCATTAGCATCAGAGACTAGCTTCTCATTCTGTGATGCTTTTCACTGTGGATTCATGGGACGCACTGGCACTACAAGGAAAGTGGTTTTTTACTTCACTCTTCTTGTTACCAATGCATGCCTTGCTCTTCCTCTCTGGTACTCACAAACCAGAGTACTCCAGTCAGCCAGGGTTCTTCAGACCATGCCTGATTCATCAGGTGCACACAATTTACATCATATGGCAGAATGCTTCTAAAACATGTGGATCTTAGCCTACTGTAAACAACTGGATCATGTAAACAAATGAGTCAGAATCTCTAGTGTCACTACTCAGGAGTCTGTGCTATAGCACATGACTATCATCTATCTGATAGGAATTTTAGTGTGTGACCCACTGATTTAAATCAGAAAAGCAAGAGCTCTGATAGTGCCCCATGTGAGGAACTTAGTTCTCCTATACCTATCCATTTCCCTGTCCCTCACAAGACAGAGTGAGTAGCAAAGCATCCAAAAATGGCGGGAAAGGTAAGAACTCTGTAGTCAGCACAGATGCAGATCAATCACAGCTCCTTAGTATCAGTAAAGTCCTGGATTTCAAGATCTCTGTGAATGACGGGGTAAACACACATCAAATGTAATAGAACCAATCAATAAACATTCATGTCATAAACAGTAAATTGCATTTTAATAAAACTAAAATCCCATATTGCTTAGTGAGTGGCATAATTATATGCTATACTAGGGCCTTTCAGAAATTAAAGAATACTGCTAGAGAAGAAGTTCAAACAAAGGAACATTTTCAGTTATATATGATGAATTTGTATATAACAAAGAAATTAGTAATTGAAAAGTTGTTTTTTTCCTAAGAGTGAATTTAATGTTTTTTCTGGAGAATATGTATGCTCAAAGTCATTGTATTGTATTGTTTATTTTCACCATGAAATGTGAGGAATAGATAATAAAGTCAACTTATATCAAACAGCAATGACAACAAAAAACATGCATGTCTTCATCAATCGAAGCCAAGGCAGTATATAAGAAAAATGTCGGTGAGAAGGGGCCTGCTTATTTAGAATAATTGTATATAGATCACTGCTTCCCAAACTTGCCTCCATCTGGGAACTGCTTGAGAAGCTGCTACAAGGGGTAACTCACACTCTCCTGGGCATGCTACAGCAGTCACCAGCACATAACCAAGGACATGCCTAGATTTTCCCCGGCCATCGTGCTTTCCAGAAAGCTCTATTCAGTGTGTAAACGCAAAGAACAATTTTGTTGGTGAAAACAATTGCGTAACCATCTATTTTTCCCACTGTGTTCAATACCACAGGCAGGGCTTAAAATCCAGGAAATAGCTGGTATTCTTAAGAAGTTTATCTAGGACAGCATTGATACTACAAGTGTGGTCTAGAGATTAACATCATCATCATCACCATCATCATCAAATTTGTTAGAAATGCCAATTCTCAGCCCCACTCCAGATCTACTGAATAAGAATGTATGGACATAGAGTCCAGGCATCTGTTTTAAGAATAAACATGATATTTTTGGATGCTCTGTAGAGTATTTTTGCCCCTAAACCCTTTATCCTTTGTGTAACTCTGATTCAGAACAGCTGAAATAAGAAGCTTGAAAGTTAGATTATACAATTATCCCCATTTGCCACTTTCAGGAGCTTTAGAAAACTCGGGATGACTTCCTGACTACTTATCTCCTTGAGTCCTGAGGAAGGTATGTGTTCTTACAAGAAATAGTCTCATGAACCATTGGAATAGCTTTTATAATGGCCTCTCTCAAACTGTGGTGAATCACTATACGCATCTTTGTTTTCAGGCAAATACTATTGAGACTATTTATCTTTTATTTTGCTTCCGAAGTTGACAAGTTCTTCCATGCTGTGCAGAGTTGCAGCTCTGTCTCCTGCCTCCAGTGGCAACTGCCATCATTTAGGCAACTGTGCTGAGTGACATTTAAGGTCCTGATCTTTAAGTGGGTCCTCAAAAATAGCCTTGTCCTTTTTTTGGACAGCTCCTTTAACCTAGAGATTAACAGGTCTTCAAATTAGGCCTAGAAATTGCTGGTAAGGGGCTTGAAACTGTTAAGTCTTCTCAGCTATCACCCAGAGCTCCTCACAGAGGCATCAACGATTTCCTCCTTAGCTCAAAAGCCCTGATTCTCAGCACTGCACCATCTTCGTGGAATGAATGGCAATCTGCATGTGACATGGCAGATGAGAATATGGCTGATGAAACAAGGACTTTATAAGTGTCCAAATGGCTCTATCTAGAGCACTGGAAGCTTGAAACCGCAGCCGTGAGATAATTCTGACTTCCTAATAATGTATGCAGATCAGGACGAGGCACATTTCTCCTAAGTTATCCATAATCAACAGTCCCTGGGATAGTTACATTCCTGGTCTAATTAGTTATAGTGAAGATGAACTAGGTAAAAAACAACAACAACAAAGCTATTCTGTTTTCTCCTTCAAGACTATTAGAAGGAGATAAAGAGACCACAACCTCACCAGGGCAGTTCCTACTTCAGCTCACTTTAATTCAATTCCATTTCTATTTCTACTGCGAACAGTTTGTTCTGTGATTAGACTTAAAAAAAACACAGATGTGTTCTTAGGTTTAATTTCCACAGACTTGCCTACTCTTTCCTACACTTAAGGTTTTGTAAAAAAGGTATTTGTTATACCTCACTAAAAATAAGGAACTTGAACAGTTCTGAACCTAGTTGGTATATTAGGAATGGTTTTCACAAGACTCCCTGAAAGATTAAAATTTTCCAAGGTCAGAGAACTTTTATTTCATTTGATACTGGCTCATAGTGAGATTAACTTGTTTAGCATAAGGTCAGGTATTTAGTTTCTTTTGGGGCTTCAGAACCAACATTTTAAAGATATCACATCAAAGATAATGGAATGTTTTACTGGTTCAAATGCAGTTGAATGTGGGTCTCTTTCTGAACTCATGATTGTGTTTTGGCTCTCTGTTCTTCTGTTGGTGCATCAATGGCATGACCCTTGGGTATGAGGTATATACCTCTAATCCCAGGTCAGGAAGCTGAAGCAGGAGGATAACTTGATGCAGCCTGAGCTACACAGTGAGATTTGGACTCAAACAAAAAAACTTCCCAAACTACACAGATATCACTTACTGTAACTTTATAATGTTTTTATATCTATAAAATCAAATCTTCCAACTGTATTTCTCAAGGAAAAAAGTCACCTTGTTTTTCCACATATAATTTTAAAAATGGGCTTAAAAAAACCAAAATTCTGTTTTCAAACACATAAAAACAAAGTTCCTGAGATTTTGGTTGAAACTGCACTGATTCTCGCAACAAAAAAAAATCTGGGGAGAAATAATTACTTTATAGACTTGACTTTTTCTAACCTATAAACATTTTGAATATGTTACTTACTAAGATACTACGTTTTCTCAATGCAGAGATCCCATGCAGAGATCTTATACAATCATGCTAGGTCATATCTGTAGACTTAGCTTTTTGATGTCTTTGTAAATAATTTTTTAAATTCTATTTTTCTAACTGGTGCATGGAAATAGAATAATTCTATATTTAGCTCAAGTGTTCCTAGCATGTTTATTTATTGATTCAACAGCTTTAGATTCTTCTGGATTTTCTATATTCAGAATAGTGTTACTAGTAGTCTATCTTAAAAAAATTGGTTTACGAATTCAACTGTGCTGTTCTAGAACTCAAGAAGCTAGCAACACAAATTATTTTCATATTAGATTATTCACCAAAAATTATTTAGTATATTCAACTGTTCATGTTAGCTTACAAAATTTATACAGGTAGCCTTAGAATAAAAGAGTACAAGGGACATCTAATGCATAAAGAACTTGTTTATTCTCTTAGGAACTTGGGAAATGCATATTCTGTACATACTTATCTTTGTTCCCATTCACCCAACTCTGCTATACAACATATACAAAGAGAAAAGAATTCTGGATGTGGTTTTCAGGGTATTTTTTCCTGTTCTTGTTTGTGCTTTTGCTCTGGGACAAGGTTTCTGAGGCAGCACATGCTGCACTTAGATTTGTGATACTCGTGTCTCATCCTCCTGAGCACAGGGATTATAGGTATCTGTCATCATGCTTAGCTCAAGGCTGTATTTTAATAAAACACTTTCAATATAAATGTCTTTCTCTTCGTGAATGAAAGAAAACCAGTTGACATATTTTATTTGTTCCTCCTAACATTATATTCTTCAGATACCACCATTAACATCTCATTTAACTTTGTAAAGGCCTCTTCTCTTCACTTACTTATTCTCTCTACCAAGTCTTCTCCTTCTACAGTTACCAAAAAGTTGTCAGTGTCCAGGCTAGCACTATTTTACTGATGGAACTTTCTCTACTTACAAGGAAGTAGATATGAGATTGGTATCAGGTCAGATCTGATTCCATCCGAAGACAAATTCTTGACTGAAAACATCCACCCATTGTCAGACACAAAATGAAGAAGCAAAGGCTTGTGTTTTTTTAATCTTCAGCAATATTTATTGGAAACAGCGACACTTCCCGTGGTGAGAGTTTATACATGAAGCAGTAAGATTTGCCTTTCACTCCACACAATCCACTACTGCAGGCAGCACATAGGAAGCAGCACATTAAACCTCTGGAAGAGTCTGTATAGCTAGATAAATACAACTCTGGATAACAGGACTTCCGTGACTTGTATAGAAAAGAAAAACACTCATAAGCTTACACACAGCACTGTATACACAAAATAAAGATGAGGTTAGAAGGAGAGATGGTAAAGTAATGACTGAATTGGGAAGGAGATTTGCATATCTAGCCACATACCTTAAACTGCTAAGCACAAAGATCATCTTTATTTGGTCCTCATTGAGGGCAGAATATGCACAAATGATGTCCAAGGAACACAAGGTGACAGTGGAGAAAAGAGACATTTACTGTTCCTGCCCTCTGAAGTAGTGGGGAAATGGTTACTAGTGATTTTTCTCTTTATGTCTCTGTGCCAAATGGATTCATAAAACGTGTTAATTCATAAACAGAAATGAAGAGAAGATAGTTAGCTGTTCCCCCATTCCTTGTACCATTCAGAAATAGTCTAAATATATACATGGCTCTGTACAGTAAGAGTTTAAGCTTGGAAACCAGATCTCTTCCCCATTCTCCCTCATGGAGAATTTTCTCTTTTCTGCCCCTTCCACAATATGCTGATTGCTCACGGTCTCATCCGGAAATAAACAAGAATCCCTTGGAGGGCTGTAACAGCAGGGTGGGAAGAAAACTAGCTGTGCCTCAGGAACAGGCTAAAGTGAGGTGAACAAAGGTGGCCATTTTCAGAGAATGCCTTGAACCCACAATCAATATGTTTCTACTGCTGGCATCAAGAGAATAACTCACTTAGACCAGAAGACAATTTGCTGGTGAGGGAGGCTTGTCTTTTTGACAATTCTGTGACTCACATATTTGGGAAGGGACAATGTGAAAGCAAGAACTTGCTCCTCTGTAAATGGGGAACCTGGGGTGCGGAGATGGCCCCTGGGTGATAGACAATATCTTCAGTAGGATGGTTTTTCCGTGATGTGGCTCATGGTCATAATTTCAAGAAACCATGGCCTCCTGAGAACCGTGTAAACAGCAGTTCTGTGACTACTGGCTAGTCTCAGATGGTATTTAAAAGCACATGCCATGCCCCACTGGGCTCAGAAGATACCATCCATCACCATGACTCCTGTGGGATCACACAAGTCAACCCAAACACTGGTGGGCTCGATGACGTGGTCCACTGCGGCCTGCATTTGAGATGTATTGTAAGCAGCATTACCAAAGCAGTGGTTAAACTGAACTATCTGGGTCAAAAGGAAGTGAGCCAGCCAGCGTAACATCCTAATGGGGCAGGGCAACCAGAATTTCTACATAATTAATGGGGAAGAAGCCCGAGTGGCCGTGAAGCATTCCTTCATACCAGTTTTCATCAATCTGATTAGTGAGTGTGATGATATCGCCCTCCTTAAAACCCAGCTCTCCTTCGTTTTCAGGTTCAAAGTCGTACAGAGCTCGGCAGCAGGGCTGATCCATTTGGACTCCTGGAATCAGAACAAGAGAGAATACAAGATGGCGTGGGTATTAAAGTCATAGCATTTACTGTGGTATCCCCTGGCATGGTATTCTCCTTCTGTCCTTCCTTATCCTCCTCCTGCCAAAGTTTCCTCCAGCATCCACGACAAAGAACCCCTTGTCCCCTATCAGTTTCTGATGCTTTCTCACATACAAGTTGTTGGGTATTCCTGTTTTGATTTCCACTATGAAATGTCACATCTATTCTTGTGGTAAGTACAAGAGATATCCCTCATGCTAGCCTTACTGATAATGCCCAAAGGTGGGAAGCCACTAACTTGTGGGGTTTATAATGGGACTTAGTTCAACAGCATGACATGGCCAGATTCGCTAATGTTAGCTCTTAAAAACGCTGGCACATTAAAAATGGTGCAATTAACTATATGGGCAAAGCTCTGCAACCTCAGAATAATATTTCAGTGCTTACTGCCCCAAATGATAACTCCTACCTCTGGAAAATTGCTGTTTTAAATATGTGTGTGTATCATACACACATGTATGTAGGTATATAACACTTGTATATAAAGCACTGGGTCCAAGCAATACATGTGGGCACATAGTTGTACTCCCAGCATATTTGGATGGCTAAGGCAGGAGGACACAGTAAGACCCTTTCTCCAAATAACAAGGATATAGCTTAGGAGTAGAATGCTTACCCAAAATGCTAACATGTACAAGGCCTTATATTTTGTCACTATCACCATCAAAACAACAACAAAAAACAAAAAACAAAAAAAACCCTAAACCCTACTGGATTCAAGTTCTTATTCTGTGTGAACTTGCCAAAGGAATTTTACTCTGTTTCTTTGTACAAAAGAACTTATTTTGTAATAGAACTTTGTATCAGAACTTATTTCATACTATGCTGTATTTATTAAATGTGATACTGTTAAAAAAAATCCTATCACTTAGGCGTGGTAAACTTTCACATAGAAGCAGCACATAAGAGCTACAATATATAAAAATAATGTAGTCACTTTGAATAAAACAAGAAATAATGTATTCATATCATAAATGATATTTATTTAAATACATTATCTATCATGTAGATACATGTGAATATAGACTCCGACAAATGCATGCTGCTCTCACACTAACTAGCTCTCTTGCAAGGGAAACAACATGATTAAATTTGAATTTAGAGGAAACATCACACCAAAACAAAATTGAAGTATCTGACTACTTTGTGGGGAGGGAGAAGCAGTCAAGTATCATTTATATGACCAGCCGGTAGCCAGTTCGCTGCAGTGCCACTGCAGTGGATGCCCATATGGACACTGGGAGCTGTGGAAGGGAACACCATGGTCAGAGAGCTCTGCCTACTGTCAGACCTTACAGCTTCATCAGTCTCCAAACAGCATTTATGAATGTTTTCTGCTGTAGAACATCAAGAACTGAGGCTATGGGAAAATAAGAAAAAATAAGAGAATGCTATGTACCTTTAAAACCCACTCTGCTACCAGATAGTTCCCACTTTCTAAGCCAGTATTGCAATTGGAAACATCGCAAAGACAGATTTTGGTTTAGTCCATGTGTAGGGGTGGAGAGGAATCGTGACAAAAGAAAGAATGTCTAATTGGGTATGTACTGATATTCTCAAGAGTAAATAAAGTTTAGTTTTCATCATGCTGACCTTAGTACCACAACATGATGGACTGAGAGTGGGAAGTAGGAAGGGAAAGCTAGCAGGCTGAGGTTTGAAATATGCCATCTGCAAATATATTCAACCACATGTTCCTGTGACTCAGGAAACAGCTCAGCACGTTCCTGGATCTGCTGTCTGAGGGTGATGTGGGAACGCATGTGGGCCTGCACTGTCCAGGAATTCATTCACATGTGGGTTGGATCCTCGAAGTAAAGGTGGCCAGCAGGAGCAAAGGTGACACCCCCTCCCAGTGCCTAACTTATATTTCACATGGTTTATGACCATTTGGTAGTTAGGAGGTCAGTGAGGGCTGGTGAATAAGAAAAAAGGATATTCAAAAAGTTTCAGATCTATAAAGAGGGGAAGGTAAGGATTGGAAAGGTGAATGGAAGAAAAAAAGGATTCCTTTAGCACAGTTTCTACTTGATAAACCATCCTGTGAGAAATGGCAGTATATTTCTTGTAGCCAGATTAGAATGCTTCTAGAATTTCTAGAAAAGTGTCAGTGGATGTGGCCAAAGCCCAAGGTCTAAGCTCTTTACCTGAAGGTTTGGGTGTGCCCGTGTGGGAGAGACCTCCATTGGGCTGAGTACTGTCTCCAGTAGAAAACTCCAGGCTCATTCGTGGCTTAGGCTGATATTCTCTTCTAGGCTGAGAGGAAGCTTGTCTTATTCTGTAATTGAAAAGAAAGGGAATGGGAGTAGGAGTTATGAAGTCAATTAAGAAGTCAACTAAAACAATAAAACTTAGAAAATGGCTGGGTCACCTACTAATCTAGCATGACACAGAGGGAAATCTTAAGGACCTTTAGTTTTCTTATAAAGTGATGTCTATGCTTCCTCTGCAGTCTTACCCTCACTTTCGGTGTTCTTTTTCTCAATACCTCCTTTCATTTATTCAGATATGATGGGGTCAGGGACACAAAGGGGAGTAAGATACATTTGTTCCACAAGCAGCATTTGGCCTGAGAGAGTATAATAATTGATTACCATAAACAATACTGTTGTCACAAGGTATCTACAAAATACAGAAGGGACTTGGGGTAGACAGTTGGACAGAGAGGAATCATTGCTATGTGGGAAAGTTGGAGAAGATTTAAGGAAAAGAGGTTAAAAAAATCTATTGTGGTACTTTCCAGAAGAGTATGCCAAAGAAGCTATTCTAAGTGGCACATGAGGTTTGGAGAGAGTGAGCAGACTGGAGATACAGGGAGAGGGAAAGGGTTAATGAAGTCACAAAAGTGAAAGAGATTTGCCAAAAAGTGCATTCTGTATACCACTAAACACTGTTCAGTTACAGGTATTCAATAAGCAAGGTACATTCAGATTTAGAAGGGTGGGATGATTGAGGATATGGTGATTGTAAAACGACACTGACTTTACTTCAAACACATTTCAGGAGGAATGAAAGAGAGTGGTCTCTTGGTGCCCAACCGCTGTCACAAAAGCACAGATTACTTGAGTGTTTGACACATATAGTTTCAAGATTTTCCTAAAGGCTTCAGTTTTAGGCATATTTCCAAAAGTGTGCACTGAAGAGAGTTACAACAACAACAACAACAAGAAAATCACTGAAAATAGACAAGAGAGGGCCAAAATGGAGACAGGTGAAATTTCTAATAATGCAGCCCAGTATGACTGTCATCTCCATTGTGCCTTGAGCCACAGATGAGCCACAGGAGACTAATGTGGTCATGATCTAATAATAATCCTGAAGGGTGATCCTCTGAGGCATGTACGTTTAGCAAAATCATCCTGCTCCACCTGGCTAAGTAAAATAATATGCACAGACCTTCTCCAACTTACAAAGGCTCAGGCAATTGTTTTGTTTGTATTTTTAGCTTTATGACCCTGTGAAAGGGACACACAGTAGAGATCATACTTGGAATTTCAGCTCTTAGGATTCACTAGTAAATTCTAGTCAAATTAAACTGTAAAACTGCAGAAAAAGTTTTATCATTCCTTACTTTATTTATCACTTAGAATTACTTAAAAGAAATGACCATCTATGTGTTCTTACCATGTAATAAAATCAATAATATATAATAATATATTGATATGATACATATTATAATATAATGATATATCCTTAAACACATAAATCATTTGACTTGATGATAAAATTGTGACAGGGATATACATACAGTAGAGATCACACCTGGAATTTTGATCTTTTCCTGGGTTAGCAACATGCAGCACAAAACTATTTCACAAGGCTGGGTAGAGGGAGCAAACCATAAATGCCAGCCAGACATGTAATCACAAGCAAAACCCACCAATACTCCACAGTGTATGTTGTTGCTAAGCTATGTTGTTTGGGATGTTAGGTAGACTGCATACTTTCTTCACATGGGTTTATGGAAAAACCATAAGTTGGTCAAGGAGCATCTATATTATAGTGTGGGTACTCTATACATCTGGGCAGGTTGTGCCCAAAACTCCACAGAGAGCTTCATGTACTTGAAAACTATTACAGATCACTGTGACATACATCTAAGGAGGTGGTACAGAGCACATGAAACCAACTCCCTGGTGGAAGCTTTAGCATCACTCAAAGAAATATAAATATGAAAAGATCCAAGCTTTCAAATTAGATGGCTTGGTTGTGAGCTGCAGCTAACAACCATGAGAGAGCCTGGGCAAGTCATTTTGCTTCCTTGAGGCTCAGTTGCTCATCTGTTAGTTGAAGCTAAAATACTTAGTCTACAGGGCTGTTTTAAGGTTGATCATATGCAACTGGTACCCACACAGAATATCTGCTCCACAAATTGCATCCATCATCATCAGTAGCATCCTGGTGTCCCATCTATGGCAGTCAACATACAATCCAGGCACGTCATAAACACAAGAACAAAGCACAAGATAAAATAAAACCAAAGCAATCCTTGAAGGGCCTGTACAAAATCAGCAGGAATTTGGCAGAATTGTGTCTCCAAATGAAATTTGCTATTACTTCCATTTCTTTACACATGATTGCAGAGCAAGAAAGTACAAAGTAGAAATTCAGGGAACTGAAACCTACCTTTCCTCCAGCCTGACAGTGACCTGCTGCAGAATCTGCACTGCCTGTTTGTGGTATTCCAGCTGGGCTTGCACAAGCGCGGAGAGCTGGCTCACTTGTTCAATCTGCAGATGGACAGGACAATCATGCCTCAGTCACCAGGTTATGATCTGGCAGCAGCTACTAGCTCCCTATGCACATTACAGTATGGTCCCCAAAATATTGTCCCATGCTTGGTGATGCTGATGTTGGTGAAGCAAGTCAGGACAAGATAGATTATTCTGCAATTTCTAAATTGATGAAGGATAAGGAAGCATCCTTCTACATGGAACCATGTGTGTCAGTACTATGAAGCAACCTTAGTAAGAAACCTCAGAAAAAAATCACATTAATTTTTATTAAATCTCCCTGTGCTTATCTTATAGGAAAATGATGCTCTGACAAGGGAATATTTCCTTCCTATGTTTAGCACTCAATATATATTCCCAACAGTACTTTTCATGTGAATAGTACAGCTAGTACTAAAAACATGAATATTTCTGGGTGTCAATGGCCCATGTCACGTAATCCTACCTGCTTGGGAGGCTGAGATCTGAGGATCACAGTTAGAAGCCAGCCCAGACAGAAAAGTACATAAGACTCTTATATCCAATTAACCATCAAAAAGCTGGAAATAACCCATGCTTTCACTGTATTTGATGTTGGCATAATTTGTGGAGGGGAAGGGAAAAAACCAAATTGTTTAAATAGGGATACAGGTGAACCCATTGCAACAATGAGATGTACAAGTCATTATGTCGAAATGAACTTTACAATTTTGGTGTGGGGGGGAGGAGGACTGGGTGGGGGGTTGGGGGGAGGATGGAAGGGATGGGAAGGGGAAACAAAGAGGAGGCAACAATGCTTGATAAGAAATGTACTCGTTATCTTGCCCATGTAATTGTAACTCCTCTGTACAGTATTCTCACAATTAAAAAAAGCTGGAAATAGGGCTATGGCTCAACTGATAGCCTTAAGTGAGAAAGCTAAGTTACAGTGTCCAATCCCTTAGTTCAAGCCCTAACACCAACACACACACACACACCAAACATGAATAATCATTAATATTTGTTTCTCATAATGTACCATGTGAGGTTTAAAAAAAGCCTTTTGACCTCTCTAAGCTGCATTTGTCATGTAAAGCTGTTGTATATGGTGGTATTTTGAGTTCATTCCAGCTCTAATAATTCAAGCGAATTCAGTTACTATTCATTTTGTATCCTGTGTTGTTATCTAACTTAGTAGTAGCCTCCAGGTCAAGAGAGGCGAGGCTGTCCTATGAGGATGAAGGGGGACAGAATCCTGGGTGTGGTGAAGGAGCACTGTGATTCAGTTTTCCCAGTGTATTCTTCTTGAGTAGGAGACAAGAGTTGTTTGTGGACAAACATATACCATGTCTGGGTGGCAGCAAAAACCACGTATGTTCAATATGCCTCCCCTGTCTAGTCAGTAAGGCAGCTGATTAATGTGATGTTTACTTTTCGTTTTCAACTTGGCTAGATAGCTAGCAAACCATTATTTCTGGGCATATCTGTGAAAGTGCTTCCAGATGAGTTTTGCATTTGTCTCAGTTGACTGGGTAAGGAAGACCTGTTCTTATCTAATATGGAGAGCACCACCTAATTAGCTGAGGGTGTTAGTAGAAAAGGTGAAAGAAGATAAATTCACTCTCTCTCTCTCTCTCCCTCTCTTAAAGATGGCTACACAGCTTCTCTTGCCCTAGGATGTAAGAACTCTAGGTTCTTTACAGCTTTCAGACTTGGAATCCAGGACTGGCACGAATGGCTTCTCACCTCTGCTGGGGCTAAGGCACCCAGCTTCAGAATGAGAGTTATATCATAGGCTCCTTTGGACTGGGAGTGAGCTATGTTAACAGCTTCCCAAGTTCACCAGCATCCTTGGTTCTCCAGCGTTCAGAGGACTTATTTGTGACTTCCATGCCTCTATAATCTCAGGAGCTAATGAATCCCCTCTCATTAGCCTTATTTATATCTTGTGCATCTTATATCTATATTTTCCACTTCTGTCCTCAATAAAGACCCAATAAAGATGTCCCAAATGTAATATCTATGCTACAATCATTAGTCTTAAAAATTACTTTTTTAAAGACTATACCCAACTTCAATTCATAATACAGAACACTTCTATGTATGGCACCCAATTCTAAATGTCAAATTGACATTCTTTGTGTGTGTGTGTGTGTGTGCGTGCGTGCGTGCGTGCGTGCGTGCGTGTGCATGCGTGTGTGCGTGTGTGTGTGTGTGCGCGTGTGCACGCACACACATTACTGGGGCTTGAACTTCAAAGCCTTGGTGCTGTCCCTTTGATTTTTTTCACTCAAGGCTGACTGACACTCTACAACTTGAGCCACATCTCTACTTTGGACTTTTTTTTTTGTTTTTTTAAGTAAGTTTTTTTTATTGTGAAAATACCATACAGAGGGGTTACAATTACATGAGCAAGGTAATGAATACATTTCTTATCTACTTTGGACTTTTTGTAGACAAGAGTTAAAGGGAGATAGCCATACAAACCTTCCTGCCTGGGCTGGCTTTCAACTGTGATTGTAGCAGCTACGATTACAAGTTTGAGCCAGAGGTTCCCAGCTTGACTGATATTCTTGTAAGTACAATAAGCTAACTGATTGCATCATGGGAGCTTCTTGATTGCTATTCTTTATAGTCATTTCTTATGTATTCAATTTATCCACAGACCTTTCTAGCATTCTCTAGTCTCTCAATCTTTCTCTTTCTATGGTATTATTTGGCTTTTTTGTGCTTATGTCTGTTATCTAGCATTCTAACCATTTGAGCCATGACTCCAATAGACATTTCTGCTGGTTTATTGAAGACAATAATTCTGCTGGCTTTGAACTTCAATCCTCAGACTTCAGCCTCAGACCTCAGCCAGGATTATAGGCATAAACCACTAACTAGTATACAGCTTTAAGATTCATTAGTAAATTTTAGTCAAATCATACTATAAAATTGCAGAAAAAAATTTACCACTTCTCAGTTTACTTATCACTCAAAATTATTTAAAAGAAATGACCATCTATATGTTATCATATAATAAAATCAATATGCTGATATAATATAATAATCTATAATGATATGTCCTTAAACACATCAATCATTTGGCTTAATGATAAAATTAATTTTGAAAACCACAGGAAAGTTACTTACATCCATCTCCAAGAGGTTGAACATGCTTGACTCAGCAATTTCTTTAGACTCATCAAATTTCTCCAGAGCTTGACGGAGTTCTTCATCTGGGATCTTGCCTTGCCGTTTCTTCTTATAATCAAAGTCCAGGCGCCTCCCTTCCAACTTCTTTAGATGGTGCTGCAAATGAGAGGAACATGCTTTGAAAGTAGTTCTTTACAGTTCACTTTACTAACATTCTAATTGGCTTCCAAAACAAAATAGGCTGCATTTCAAAGTAGAAATGAAGAAACATATACCAGTGAGGCAAATGCTTCCAGAGATTTCGTGAGGGGATACCTTTAAAAATAATTAAGGATGAGCTGGGAATGTGGCTTAGTGGTAGAGTGCTTGCCTAGCATGAATGAAGCCCTGGGTTCAATTCCTCAGTACCACATACACAGAAATAGCTAGAAGCGGTGCTGTGGTTCAAGTGGTAGAGTGGTAGCCTTGAGCAAAAGAAGCTCAGGGGCAGTGCCCAGGCCCTGAGTTCAAGCCCAAGACTGGCAAAATAACTCAAGGATAGGAAAGAAATAACAGGAAATACCATTTCCCTTTATGTCTGGTTTGCCAGGCCAAAGCCAAGATGGAATCCTTTCCCTCCTCACGCCACAGGCACATGTGCTCCACACACTGAGAGGTGTGTGCACAGAGTTCTCAAGTCCCCATCCTCATGAAAGACGGTACTCCAGAGAAGACACTGGAAAACTACTCCCCCTGTAGTACAGTGAGGAGGAATGGCATTCTTGCTTTCTGAATCATCCAGTGTGTTACGATCACCTGTTGTGTTTATTATGTGGATTCCTGATCATCTGAATCTAAATATCCAGGATTGAATCTAGGAATCTATTTTGAAACACTTGCTCCAGCTAAGGTGGCTTTCAGGAAACTTTTTACTGAGCTTAAGCCTGCCTCTTGACAGATGATGCAACACAGGACCTTGGAAAGGATTTCACCTAATGCTACTTGCTAACCCTTATCCATTCTTAAATTATTCCAAGTAAGGGGTCTGGCCTGTGCCCAATATCCCTAGTACTGGGTTGTGAAGTCTTTTTCCACAAACCGAAATGTTGGGTTTGTTGCTTTTGTTGTTTCTCATAGCATCAGTTTCCACTGTTCACTGCTGGGTAAGAAGGCCAGATTTTCACTTGTTTCTAGGTATACATGGGAGGGAAGAGAAGGAGACAAAATTGAATCGGGAGTGGTAAAGATCTGAGGAGCAAAGGAGAATAAATAATACCCTAAACCTTCCCTGCTACTAATCCATGCCTGATCTAAACTAAATGATTGAGCTTTTGGAAGGAATACTATTTGAAATACTTGAGCCAGATACAGGGTAGAACAATGTATCAGAGCTATACTTTGGATTTAGAGTTCATCTGCCATTTATTGAGTGATCTTGAGTGAAGTAAGTTTAATCTTGGAAAACAAAGAACCAGAGGGACTGAGTTCAAGTTACAGAAGTCCATTTAGTAGACAACAAAAAAGTGTTAGTCAAGTTCAAAAATAGTTGTAGAATGAATAAGTGAATGAAGAGATGAACAAACCTTGTAAGCCCAAGCAGAAACATAACAAAATAAAGTTTATTTATTAGAAATAAACATAATAACAAAATAAAGTTTATTTATTAGAAATATCACAACTATTCTACATGTCTTAGAAAGAATGGCTAGGAAAATACAAAACACGTGTTTAAAAATAAGAGTACTTATTTAAGTAGTATTAGGGGTAATAGCCCAGCCCATCATTCTAATTTAAAACAAAGCAACACAAGAGGACATTATCCCTCTAGGGAAAATGTATTTTTGAAAAAGTGATTTAATGTGTGCTGAGTGTAGTGGCTCATGTCTGTAATCCTAGCTACTAGGGAGGCTAAGATTGGAAAGATCATGGTTCAAAGCCAGCTTAGGCAACAGAAAAAGATCAACATGGTGGTACATTCTGCATCCCAGATGAGCAGGAAACATGAATAAGAGGATCACAGTCCAGGAAGGCCCAGGAAAAAAACCTAAGAGCCTATCTAAAAAATAACCAAAGCAAAAATGGACTGGGCATATGTCTCAAGTAGTAGAGTGTCTGCTTAACGAGTTGCTTAGCAAATCCAAGGCCCCAGTAACACCAAAGAAACCAAAAGAACAGCAAAATCCAAAGCCTATTTAATACAGACACTGAATACAGAGAATTCAGCTATCAAACTCTTGAGCAACATAGTCCTAACAATGGGCTGGAAAGTTCTGCATTTCTGTTTGCTTCCAATTTATCTTGCAGGGGTGATTTTAAAATTTACCAGTGCTGTCAACAAGAAAACTAGCCTAAGAAGTGGACATTTGCAACTGTGTAATTTCAACTGCTTGCTTACAAGAGACAACAGCATATACCTGAATCTCCCTCAGATCTTTGTCATGAAGATTCTGAAGTGGGTCAATGAAATTCTGCTTCACTTCCATGTCCAAAGAGTCTTTCACCTCTGAGAGTTCCCTCATGGCTTCCCCTACCTCTCCAAGTGCTGGACCTAAGAGGACAAAATGGAGCTCTTAAACTTTGAAGAACCAGGAGGAAATACATGGGCCTTCACAGATTAAAAAAAAAAAACATAGAGATTATTGCCTAAGAAACCAACAGACTAGAAAGAATACACTATGCCTTCCATAGAAGAATGTCTTTCCAAGGTGCCATGGTTCATTGTAGGAACCATGGAGATATCCCTTATTAACAGGTATGTAACATCTGGGAGGCTCTCTGTCCACTTTTGTATGTAATTGCCCTGCCCTGTGCGGTCATTTTCAAGTTAAGTCTTTTAGTAGAAACAAATAACAGTAAAGGAAAATAGGTCAACTGGGAATGAAGATTACTTAGAGTTCCCCACATCATTAGGTGTAGAGACAGAAGGTGGTTGGTGTCTTAACTGAGAATGGGAGATTAGTGAAAGAACAAATCATATCTTACCTGGGTCTATGAAATGAGGGAACATATACAAATGAACAACAATCTAAGAGAAAGCCTTTATGGCAGGGTATAAAACAGTGCCAACATAACTACTTCCTCCCTCTCAAAATGTAGCTCTTGCCAAACCCACCCCAAAGAAAGTGTGAGGCATCTGGACATGTGGGGCAGACCTGCAGTAAACTTTGGGGTCTTATCTAGGAAATAACAAAAAGAAAACTGCTCAGACAAATCACCTAAAAAATAATGAAGCATAGAGTCCTGTTTAATTTTTCCTGTTCAAGGACTATAAACGTTCACACTGTAAGACCAAAAGAAGATATTCATAAGAGAGTGTCACAAGGGCTCAATAGCTATGTGCATATGATCATATAAAATGATGATTATTGAAATTAAATCCAAGATATGGAAAAAGGGTTTTTATTTTGCTTTTTGCACTGTTTTTTCCTTCTGTTTTTCCCCTTTTGCCACTGTTTTTGATTTCTGTACTTGCTGTCTTGTATGTAAGTTTATCTGATTTGGGGAGGGTGAGGGAAAAGCACAGAAACAGTGGGACAAAGGGTGAACTAAGTCAGCAGTGATACTGTTCAAGAAGAGATGTACTCAATACCCGATTCACATAACTAACCCATAAAAATAAATAAATAAATACAGGTATGTGAGAGCTAAAATTGAGAAGTGAAACATAAAATGACCTTAACTTCCTACAGACTTTCTTACCAGGATCACAACACCAAGGAGAACCAAAAAATTAAGAGTGCGAGAAAGCACAGTTACCGAAGTTGCAATCATCTCCCAGCTCTCTTCCAAACTTGAGCATGGCCTCTGCCAGCAGTGCTTCTGCCTGAGGGTAGCCTGGCCCCTTCTCCTGGCCACGGATTTTTGACATGGTGTTGATCATGCTGAGCTTAGCCCTGGACGCTGCAAGAAAGGGAGAACAGGATTTTGAAGTAGGCAACATGACATAGGGGAAACATCTGTACCTTCAATCTCTGAATTCTAGTGTCCTTACAATATGTGACTACTCTACCCTCCTACCATCTACCCTACCTATCTGCCCACCTACTACCTAGCTCAAATCTCAGCTCTTCCTAAACACACGTGAAGGATTATGTAACTGAGGCAAACCCGTTTTGGGGGAACCACTATTAGAAGCTCAGTTGCCATCCATCCCCATGTGCCCTACCTCTTCCCTCTATTCAGTGTGATGGCTGTCATGCTCTGTACCACTAAACTGTTGCACTAAGAGTTTTTTGGAAACTCTTGGATAATGTAATAATCTCTAAATTTTATATCTCAACTATAGAAGATTATGGATTAAAATAAAGAATCAATGGTAAACTCTTGCAGTATGAACCTTATGCCCCATTTCACTTATTCCATGCATAAAAACTATGTTCAAAACGATTGTGTAACTAGGATTACGACCATAAACAGATCCATAGCAAAAATAGTGTGTTTATAGAAAGGATTATTTCTCCTGCACACAAACTGCATATGAAAATTGGTTTTGTGCTCCAAAGACAGCATCTCTTTCCTTTTGCTTTTATTTTTATAATAGACGAGGCCTAGACAGCCGTTCTAGTTTTAGCAGAAGCAGGAATTTCATTAACAAATTATCATATTTTATTATTGTTACTAAGTGGTTGTACAAAGGGGTTGCAAAGGAGATGAGAAAAGTCATCAAGAGACAATATTTCAACTCTGCACTGGGGATAGTACAATAAGCAATAAAATAAAACCCCTTGTTTCCATAAGTTTATAATGAATTGAGGACAATATCTATTCTAACAGCAATTAGAGTTTGGGTACTGTGGCTTGGTGGCAGAGCACCTGCTTAGTACATGAAAGCCCTGTGCTCTATTTCTAGCAATGAAAAAAAAGATAAAATCAAGAAGAGTGGAGAAGTATATATACTAATATATATATGCATATATATATATATAATATACTATATATACCAAGCAGCGTGATGGGAGACTGCAGAAAGTTACAGAACAGAAACAGTGTCTCTGACACTTTTCCTGGAGGAAAGTGTCACAGAATTTAGAACTACACAGTAGACAGAATTTAGATGGTCTACTTACACATGCAAGTTGGTGGTAATCATAAGAATACAAGACATTTTTGTATTCTCCAGTTTGTCATAAAAAACACGTCACACATTAAACTTTAAAAATTAAAGCTGCCTCAGAATCACCCATTTTGGGGGGCAGCTGGCCATTCTGAGATTCAGGAAAAACCCAGTTCTTGCCCTCATGGTGCTCAGGCAAGTGGAGAGTTAGGTAGACAGACACATCAAGTGAATGCTGTAGTGGCTAATACACAATGTGACTGTGAGGAGCAGGTAAAAATTATACAAGTGAAAAAAGAAATATATTTATATTTATAAGAGTTACAGGCACAGAAAGACTAAAAGGAAAGAAGATAAATGGAAACCAAAGATAACTGGAACGCCATGTAGTGGTTAATCCCCTCAAATCCTGTTTTCATCATTTTGCATTCTACAGATGAATTCCTTTGATGAAAGATAGGTACTGATTTGTACTTAGATCTTGGTTCTGTTAAGAACTGCTTTTTGGTAAGCAGTTTATAATAGTTAACTATATTGTGGCTGATTTTCAAATTCCTCATTTTGAATGCTGTTGAAAATGAGGATCATTATTCATTTTCTAATTACTTGAGAACATCTTGAATACATTCTACATCTTCAGGAGGAGGAAGAAAGCTATAATTTTTAATGTAATGGAAATTAATTTATCCTTTTCTTCAAATGATCTCAAACTGCTATGAATTCAGATATATGGAGAGATTGGTTTTTAAGGTCATTCATGAACTCATTAAATTTTTATTAAGAATCCTGGGGCTGGGAAAACTTGTGTACTTGAGAATTATCAGACTTCTAAATTATCATCTATAAGAGTTAACATAATTGTTTCAAAATGAGTTTTTAAAGCAGTACTTTAGGAAAGTAGAAGTAAGCCTAGGAAATATAAACATAAGATATTCTCATTTCTATAATGCGATCTTAGCTTCTACTGCTTCACCAAGCTGTGTGTGATCCTACAGACTGAAATCCCTTCTAAGGGAACTGGATTCCTTTCCTGCTAACTGTTTTTCTCCCCATCACTTTGCTATTCCTACTCTGTCCTGTCTTCTTTCTCTGGTTTCAGATAGGAACATGTGCTCCTGTATTTGTTTCTATATGCTGCTCCTACCATGATGGGCCATCCACTCACCTCACCACAGGTCAGGGGGAACAGTGGAAAACACCTCATCTAATTAGTCACCACAATAAACTGTCTTTGCTTTAAACAGTGGTCTATGTCCAGTCTTCCGTTATGGTAACAGGAAACTAATATTCTATTCCATGCTCCCCAGAAAATCTGGCAGCAAGGTTTGTGTCCAATGGGCAGGGTACTTGAAGATTCTTCTCTGGGGAATACAAGTAGTGTTAGAGATGAGAACTAGAGAGGCTGGAAGCACACGATCCATAATCCAGGCTGACTGTCGTAAAGGCAGCCACTGGAGGTAATGAGGCTCACCCATTCCTACAGAGCGTCTTTGTCCCAAAAAGGGCAGCCACTGTCACCAGATTTGAGGGAAGAAGACCTTTAAAGAAACATGATAGAGATTTTAAAAAAAAAAAGTAATTTGGGGAAACAAAAAAATTCAGGGTGGGGAAAATAATTCGTATTATTAATATTCACAGGTGTCTGGGTTATTTTTTCCAGAGATAAGTAGAAAAGAACTTTTAGAAATTAAAATATGTAAATTCAAATGAACTATAAAGTTTAAAGAGCCAGAAGACATGATAGCGCTCAATCTCAAAAAATGTAACAAAAGAAAAAAAAACACAAAAAGCTTCAAAACAAAATCTTCAATACAGAGATGAAAATATAAGGAATCATAAAATTATGATAGTTCAGGATAGCTAGTAATTGAATAAAAGAAGTACAGAAATAGAAGAAACAATTTTAAGTGCAAGAAAATTTCCCAGAATTGATGATACACTTCCATAATAAAAAGTTCCCCTGAGCAGTGGATGCACAGTCCATTCCAAGAGCCACTAGGATGATATTTCAGAACAAAGAGGACAAGGAAAAGTTCTCAAACCTTTCAGAGAAGACATGAGTCAGAAGGTCACTGCATACCAGAATAGCAGGAACAACATAACATTTATTTTTTTAAATGGTGCAAGTTGACTCTAAATTTCTTTTTTTTTTTAATTGTGAAAATACTGTACAGAGGAGTTACAATTACATGGGCAAGGTAATGAGTACATTTCTTATCAAGCATTATTACCTCCTCCTTTGTTTCCCTTTCCTATCCCTTCCCATCTTCTCCCCCACACCCCCTCCCACCAAAGTTGTAAAGTTCGTTTTTCAACATAACATCTTGTATATCTCATTGTTGTAATGGGTTCACCTGTATCCCTATTTAAACAATTTGTTTTTTCCCTTCCCCTCCACAAATTATACCAAACATCAAATACAGTGAAAACAGAGATACCATGGGGGAAGGACATACAAAGCAACAAAGAAATCATCTTATAAATATGTTAGAAACAATCACAAGAAAGAAAAAACATTTGAATACATATCTTGGGACTCATTTCACCTAACATTGACTTATCTGACCTTTTCTGCTTGTCTCAGACATATACTAGTTATTGCAAATAAGGAAACCATGGGACCTATGTTTCTTTGGGCTTGGCTTACTTCACTTAATATAATTTTTTCCAAGTCTTTCCATTTCTTAACAAATGGGGCAATGTCATTCTTTCTGATGGAGGCATAGAATTCCACTGTGTATATATACCACATTTTCTTGATCCATTCATCTACTGAGGGGCATCTGGGTTGGTTCCATATCTTAGCTATGGTAGATAATGCTGCAATAAACATAGTTGTGCTGGTAGCTTTAGTGTGGTCTTGTTTGTGATCATTTGGGTAAATGCCCAAAAGTGACTTCAAATTTCTTAGAGAAACTTGAGACTATATTCAAACTATCACTGAGGATAGATTAAACACACACAAAAGGTCTCATTTTTCTTTCCAACCTAATGGAAGACGCATTATACTGAAAGTATAAATCAAGAGGTCTCAAAGATCAGGAACATGTGATGTGTGTCTGTTTATCGAACGAAGGGAAACATCTACCTGTGACAAAAGGCTTGGGAAAAAAATAATGAAAGATGCATAACTCAGAAACTGAAAATTAAGATAAAATAAGTCCACTGAAATATCCTGAAAAAATTAGTGTGTGGGGAAGAATGAGAAAACAGGATAGTTACTGTCTTTCTTACTGTCTGTCTGTCTGTCTGTCTTTCTTTCTGTTGGTCATGGGGCTTGAACTCTGGGCCTGAGTTCTGTCCCTCAGCTCTTCAACATAAGGCTAGCACTCTACCACTTGAGCCACAGCAACACTTCCCATTTTCTGGTTATTTATTGGAGATAAAGTTTCACAGTTTTTCCTGCCCGGGCTGGCTTTGAACCGTAGTCCTTAGATCTCAGCCTCCTGAGTAGCTATGATTACAGGTTTGAGACACTGGCACCCAGCTAGTTACTGTCTTTTAAAACTCAAATTCAAACAGAAAATATTTGAAACTAGAAAATGAATCAGGATCAAACAGACATGTTTCAAGATTGAGAGCAAAAGCCACAAAGATAGCTAAATGAGTTCTGAAAATGTTTTGGGGACTCAGACATAGGAGAATGGGTCCAGTTCTTACATTCCTTGTAAATTATTTTCAAAAATATTTTTTAAAATCATGTGCTATTTCCACTATTAAAAAACCCCACAGAATTCAAAATATTTCCATTTTGTTTTACCCTTTGAAGAAATGGGTATTTTCACTCAAAACACAGAAGCAGAGCTATGGCTCAAAGTGGTAAAACACTAGTTGGGCAAAAGAGCTC